AACCTAACTAATCAGATGCATCATTTAATTTCATTTACACTAGGTATATTCATATCAATCGTCGAACTAACGCGCAATTCAACTAATTAACGCCATTGTGGTGAATTTATGAAATTACCTAAAATCTGGAAATTTAATTATTAATAAAATAATACTGATTTTTGATTGAAATGACTATCATCCCCGAGTCATTATAATAAAAAACTTTTCGGGGTTTAAGCATTGATTCATTAATATGTAATTGGGTAACTAAAATTTAAAATTGGGGATTTGGTGTCCAAATTTGAGCCTAATTTCATAAATTCGCTTCTAGACGGTATATACAGTAATTGTCAATCTGAACCAATGACCGTTATGGTTGTGTATATTTAAAACTGATTAACTAGCTTTGGATAGTGAAATCTTAATTAAAATATTGTAACTAACTTTTAAAATATATAGTAACAAGATTAATGGAAGAACAGATTTTGTTTTCTTTAAGAAATTATTATGTGTAATTTTAAAATTTAATACTATCGCTATACGGTACTTCTCTAGTTATGTTAACGTTAAGCAAAATTTGGTAAATTGACGTTTGGGCTGTCCAGAATTTGGACAGCCTAAACGTCAATTTACCAAATTTATCTACTGTAAATACCGGCTTAAAATTGACATTTGGGGAACAACATAACGATAAACGAAACAAACGGTTGCAAAAACACTGCAACCCATGAGATTCAGATCTGCATATAAACTCTTATTGCATAATTTATTTATCATTATTATGTCATTAGCTATCACTAATTATCGTTGCTATAAATTTCCCTTATCGTCACTTAAGTTATTTAATAAAATCAAAAATGCTAGTCTATCGTCTTCTCATCATCTTGGACCAAGGAATTTTTAGTGACTTGACTCAAGGCTTAAAACAACGTATCACTGAAACTTTTGCAAATATTATAGTTAAAGTCGAATTCACCAATATAAGGCTTATTGAATTGGGTGTTTCTTGTTGGAATTCAAATCGTAAACAATATGATGCGAATTCTCTTCTCTCTAAAATCGTCGAAGATGCAACAAGTGATGAAATAGCAAACCGACAATCAAATGTTACTGATTTGGAAATTGCTGGTATCACTCCGCCTGCTTTACCTTTGACTTTGCTTTTAACACCTGCGGATTGTTACGACGGTAAATTAAATTCCGTGTTTGGACTGGCTAAATATAAAGTTGGTGCTGTTGTTTCGACCTTTAGATTGGGAAACAGTCAAGAATTTGTGGCCAAAGAGTGCATTCACGAGTTAGGTCATGTGTTTGGATTGAAGCATTGTAGATTGCCTTGTGTGATGACCTTATCTAATTCAGCGTTGGAAGCAGATGAGAAGAGCTCGAAATTTTGTTCTTCTTGTTACGAACAAATTAATGAACAGATTAAAGCTGTTTCACATTAATAAAATAATATTCGCGACTCTGTAAAGAATTTTTTATCTCTGCTTTAGACCATAGCTATAGTTTTTAACAAGTTAAATAAATATCGTTTCATAAATATATTTTTTTTAAAAAATCAATGATCTAAATTTATGTATTATTTTTATTCATGTTTACTTCAACACAAATATAATATGTAAAAAAAATTTGTCTAAATAGATATATATATATATGTGGGCTAGCGCTAGATGCCGCAAAAAGGGGGGAACTTGGCAAATTTTTAAAATTAATTCTATTACATAAACTAATTAATTTAGATAGTTGTATTAATAAAATTTTGCAGTACAGCTCTTCGCAATTTGCAATTTCTTATGATTTATCATAAAATCTATAACATAATTGATTTTTTGATCTTTTTTCTCTTTTTGCAGCACTCAGCCATATATATGTTGTAAGTGGGAATGGAATTTAAGTGGATTTGGAAATTTTCTTTGGATTTTAGGGCTAGGTGTAGGTTTATATAAAATAAATTCTATCCTATAATTACAGTTTATTATTAAGAAATTCCTGATCGATTAATCAGAACCAATGATCTTAGCAATTACCTTCTAAATGCATTGACAATCTATATATAAAAATTTAGTCAAATGTGCATTTAGAAAAGCAAAAATCTATAAGTACAGTCGATTTCCTTTAAGTGCAATTCGTCGGGATTTAGAAAAATTTTTGCATTTAAAAAAAGGCTACATTTTGAAAATATATGTTTACTCTAATTTATAAGGTAATCATACCTATTTCCGCAAACTTTTTTTTATTACATACAAAATATTTTTAAAACTTAATATTATTTTTGCTAAAAATTATATATAAAATATATAATCAATTTATTATTAAAAAATATCTAAATTGAATTATATTTATATACAAACAAAATTTTCTAAATAAAGCTAAAATTTATAATATTTATAGTAAATTTTAAACTTGCTTTTCTATTTCTATTATTATAATATAAATTTTTTTAAAAAATTTTATATTTTATAATTTTTTTTTTAATAATTAGTTTTTTAGGTTTTGTACTTACTTTTTTTGTTTTTTTTTGCTTTTTGTTCTTTTCTTAATTTTATATCTTCTATTTTTTTTTGCTTAATATTTTTTTTATCTTGTAATTTTTTTGTAATAGCTTCAGAAGTTACTAAATTTTTAAATTTAAAAGCTTTAGGCTGAGTTTTAGATTTTTTCTTCATTTAAAAAAATCTTTATAGATGAATATTTCATAATTGATTTAAGAATGTAATTTTAGGATGTTCAAAAACTTAAATATATGTTTTTAATTGCTGGTTTTTTTTTTAAGTTGTAAAATTTTAAGACTTCTTGTATTATGTTCATGTTGTGATTTAAAAGATATTTTTATTTTTTTTAGTTGATAATGAAGATACTAAGCAGTTTGGATTAATTGCATTAAGGTTC